TCATATCACATTCGCATGAAATTGATCTGTTACGTATTTGTCTCGTCGGTTAGCGCACTACGGTGAACAGTTACCTTTTTTAATTAAACCAATTTTTTTTTAAAAAAAAATAAATTTTTAAAAATTTATTTTACTAGAAACTAAATCGAAATAAGCAATTATAAGTATAATCAAAACTTTTATAAATTACGTAATTTATTATAGATCTGTAACAATGTACAAGCTATTGAACTAGAAATTATTAAATAACAAATTTGACATTTGTATAATCAGTTATATCAGGAACAATACCAACTTTATCCCATTTTAAAACATCAAGATCATATTGTTCTAAAGGTCTTTCTTCACCTTTACTATTAATTCTTACTCCCTTGAATAATGATTTTTCGGTTGTTTGATCATTTTCTACTAGAGAAACATATTTTATGAAATTGCAGGTTCTATGAAATGATATCTGGGCTTGTTCAGCGGAAGGAAACCTCTAATAATCATAAATAAGTAAGTAAAGAGGAGTTAATAGAATTGGACAAAATACGTATTTAATCCTTTTTAAATTTTAAATTTAATCATCTCGCTAATTACCAAACCAACTTGAATATTATCTCTTACATTGTTCCACTATTATTGTATCGTATAAAATGAACTGCGATACAAACTACGATTTAATATGTAATATAATTTGATTGCTCGATCACAGATCAGTCACGACAATTTGCAAGCAAATTTTCCTGTAATCGGTGTAAGGGATAATTATAAAATATATATTTGTTTTGGCAATCGTTGAGATATTTCAATTTCGAATTTAAAGATTTCTATCTAAAAATAATTTGTTCCATTTCTACCGACTTCAGTATATATCGTTCAAAATTTAAAAATTACCTGCCAACCATGAGGCATATCATCATAAACTTCTAATATTATACTTGTTGGTTTTTGAAATGGCGATTCATCAAAATTTGAAGTAGAATATTGCGGAACTCTAAATTTATGTGGTTGAGTTGCTTTATGACCAAAAAGTACGACTTCGTCGTGCATTCTTTCAACTTCTCCTACTTGCTGTTTAAAAAAATATAATATATTAGTTATAAAAATAAAAGTATAAATAAGATTATAAAATAATTACCAATAACATAGGAGGTATATTACCCAAACTTTCAGCCAATAATGGACTAAAAAAAATGTAATAATCAAATATTTATACAAGTAAATTCTATCAATGAATGTATGTCAAAAATATGTTTAAAATAAATTCACCTAACGTAAGGAATAGCCAAAGCTTCATTATTGCAATACATTTGAATCTGTTCATCTCGTTGAAAAGATTCATCACCAACGATCGAAGGTTTTTTTTCTTTAATTTCATCAGCAAGTTTTTGTGAATCTTCTTGATATTGTTCCCATGCAGGAGACGAAATTCGCGGTTTTGGTCTATACATCGCCATCGGACAAAGTAAGTCGAGATCTATTAGATTTGGGTCTAATGAAGATGGCATGCTATGTGTAAGGTCAACCCAAGGTGACTATAATAAATTCGATAACAAAAAATATGTAGCGAACAATAGATAGTAAAAATAGGTAGCAAAAAATATGCTATATAGCAGAAATAAAAGTATATAAAGTAAATAAAATAAATAAAGTAATGAACATACCCATCCTACAATACCACAAGGTAATGGTAATCCGGCATCACGAAGAAACAAAGTCATTGCTATAGCCAATCCACCACCTGCACAATATTAAAGATTGTAATATAACTATGTTTTTTTTTTTTTTTTTTAAACCGTATGTCACTAAAAGGACAAGGGAATTACGTTGTGAAATAGAGCCATAATTGCTTTCTTTTTTTTTTTTAAATCGTATGACTTTTTTTTGTGATGGTAATAATCATAGCGTACGTACGTAAATAAAATGTAATCACCTGCACTCTCTCCCATAATAACGATTCTTTTAGGATCAATAGGTTCAAATCCAGCATCTTTACTAGGGCTTATTAGGTATAAGTAAGCAGCGATAGCGTCACAAAGTGC